ACCTTCCCAGGGCAGCCCCGTGCTGCCAGTCTGCTTCCCCCCAAAGTTATATGATGGTTGCATGCACCATCCGCCTGCTAAATGCCAGCATTACTCAACCAATTGGGTATCTGCCAGCCAGCCTGCTTATTATACCATTGTGTAGTGGCTGTTTCTGCAAGCCCAATGGATAAAGTGGTACACTGCAGGAATGGAATGTATATCTTTGTAGCTGGAGTCCTGTTGGTTAGTCCCATCTGGTATAGACCCATTCAGTCTTTGAGATATATGTAGGTAAATAAAGTTGATTCAATACCTCTGCTCTGTTTAGACCTAACAATAGGATTTAAACCCATGTAAATTTACTTGTTGAAGTAGGTGGGTATCTAGCACCTAAAGTACTGTCTGAATAATATTTTCATAGAGGATGGGTATGAATTTTTGAATAGTTTGAATGTCAAGAAAGGTGGTTTCAATTAAACCTTAGGAATAACTTCCTGATGGCATCAGACTGAGACAGAATGTCTGAGAAGGTAATGGATTTTCCATCAAATAGAAGTGATGGGATTCTCCTTCATTAGAGGTTTTCAAGAAAAAGCTGGATGGCTAGTTTGAGGCTTGCTGTTGTGCCAATGGATTGGACAGTATGACCCTGGAGGCCCAGCCAAAGCTATGATTGTGTCAATATCATGGCCATTGAGAATAGATGCTTTGGGTATCCCTGCAAAAGACAAACTTGGGGACATATTTCCTGTCTTGAACACAAATGGCAATTTTCAATTGCTTTAGAACAGGGCTCGGCAAGTTTTCGTTACCTGGGGCCGGTCCGTTGGTCCCCAGGTCTTCCACGGGCCAAGGGGGGGGGAAATGGCACCACGCGTGCTCGCACACACATGCACAGTATGCCAGAAGTACTGCGCATGCATGCGCATGCTTGCTTGCGCATGCTCAGTACTTCCGGTTTACTGTGCGTGCGTGAGTGAGTCACAGCCGCCATTTTGTTTTCCAAACTGGTGGCCACGGCTCGTTTGCACATGCGCTGAGTACTGCACATGCACAAGGGAGTCGCGGCCACCATTTTGTTTTCCTGGGGTAGGTCCAAAGGCCTTGGGGGGGCAGATCGGGCCCCCAGGCCATAGGTTGCTGACCCCTGCTTTAGAATC